GTGCTCTTCCGATCTTACTTTTTTTTATTAACTTAACTTTTAACTCAGTTAATATTATTATGGACTAACTTGTACCTTAACTAGTAAGTTAAATTTTTAGACTGTTAACTTTAATTTAACTTAGTTAAAAAAAAATATTACCCAACCCAGATAATATTATAACATTCCAATTGTATTGCAGGAATGTTACAATATTGCTGTAATATGTATCATGATTATAATTTGTGTTTGCTGGGTTGTAACATAAAATAATAATATTGAACAAGTAAGTAATTTTGACTCGGCCAATAAAAGAACAAGATGTAATGTGACATGAAATCACAATTATTTATTTATATGTTTATATGTTTAATTTATTTCAACCGAAGAAGACTCTGCAGTCGAAACATTTTGACATTAAATTTCTTATAATATGATTTCATGTCATGTCACACCTCGTTCCAAGTCAAAATTACTTTGTTATTTAAACACGAGCTAGTTAATGTAGTTTTAATAATATTGAAATTTTATGTGTATGTAAGCAGAGTGGTGGAGCTAGTGGAAACAGCACAATGATACCTCCCGAAAGAGACGAGGAGAGAACGCCTACTTCGAGGGGTATAGTAGGGGGCGCTGCTATAGCGCCGCCACCGTCCTTACAAGAACCGACGGAATTGCCACCCCCGCCACCGCGACAGCCGCCGACTAATCTGGGCTACTCGACGTCGTCCGTAGCGGCAAAAATAATGGCCAAGTACGGCTTTAAAGAGGGACAAGGTCTCGGCAAGAAGGAACAGGGCATGTCAGTGGCGTTGCAAGTGGAAAAGACTAGTAAACGCGGTGGAAGAATAGTCGGTGAGAGGGAACAGCTGATGCCACCACCGCCACCTCTTACAGCTTCGCCGCCACAGATGCAAATGCAGCAACAGCTACTGCAATCGCAACAGCTCCAGGAAGAACCTAGTATTACCGAGATAATGAAATGCCCAAGCAAAGTCAGTATAATCTTATATGTAGATATATTTTACACACACACACACACACACACACACACACACACACAATTATATGCAGGGTTGGGTAGTAACTGGTTAAAAAGTTAAAAGTTAAATAACAAAGTTAAAAAGTTAATAACTTTTTTAACTTAGTTGATTTTAAACGAGTTAACTGTTAATTAGTTATTTTTAAACATACATATAAACTTTAACTTAATAACTTTTTTCCAAGTTAACAATTTACCTATTTAAAAGAAAAAACATTTTTATGTAAAAACAATATTTTGTTATTATTGTAGTTTATATAAGCTTAATTTATAAATAAAGTATTAAATTTATGTAATAATTTATATCGTAATTGTTTTTTATTTAGAGTAATCTCATTTTAAAAAATTACGACATTCTAATTTGTATAAACGATGTTTTTCAAAATTAACTTTTAATTTAACTTAAGTTAATTTAATCTTAACACAACTTTTAACTGAGTTAGTTTTTTGTTCATGCAACTTTTAACTTAACTAAATTAATTTTATAAATTATTAACTTCAACTTAATTTAGTTTTAAAAAAATATTAACTTACCCAACCCTGATTATATGTATATAATATGTACGAGAGGTGATCAAAAAATATGGTGAAATAAAAAGAAACAGCACAACTAAAGGCACTTATGAAGTAGGACTTCCAGTATTGCTTTAGCAAGCGACAAGAACGATGGGATGAGTATTAGAAGCGAGGAAAAGTATTTTGAAGGACTAATTGTAATTTGTCCTTTAATGTAACAGGTTTCTTTTTATTTCAATATTCACTGTATTTTTGTATCACCTCTCGTATATATTATATACATATAATTGTGTGCGCGTGTGTATGTAATATAACTTATTAATTTATATATTAAAATGTACCTTTTATAATTTTATGTAATATTGCTTGCTTTATATATATAAATACATATCTGTAATCTAAATTACATCTGTAATTTTAGGTTGTTCTCTTGCGTAACATGGTTGGTCCGGGAGAGGTCGATGATGATCTCGAACCGGAAGTGAAAGACGAGTGTAATACTAAATATGGCGATGTCGCACGTGTTATTATTCACGAAGTGATGGAAGCTCCTCCAGAGGAGGCAGTACGAATTTTTGTTGAATTCAAAAGAATAGAAAGTGCTATTAAAGCCGTGGTGGATTTAAATGGACGTTTCTTCGGTGGTAGACAGGTCAAAGCGGGATTTTATTCTAGTGAGAAACTTGATAACTTACAATTGATGGATTAATTTTGTCTCTAAGAATTTCCAGCTTTGTTCTTTCGCAAATTGTACAAAAAAATATTTTATATTTTCACTACATAGTAGTAGCAAGTTATTAAAAAATAAATTTTGTCCAATTAGAATTTTTTAAAAATATTTACAATTATATATTATATGAGATGTGTATTTGACTTTTATTGACAATTTATTCCGATAATACGTACAAAATTGATTTAAAAAAAATTATGTATTTAAATAAGTAATTTATGTTATAGACAGTGAATGTATCAGGTACAAAAGTCAATTGTATATTGAAAAAGTGACTGCTTATTTTTTTATTTCAATATTTTTCACTTAATAAAAGGGAAAAAAAATTAAAAACGAGCAAAAATAGGATTGTAAATTCAAATATAAATAGCACAAGAATACGTTTTGACTATATTTAGTCTTCACCAGTTTACATCAAAAATATTAATATGTTGTATTGATTATGAAAAGAAAATTGAGAAACAAATAATCAACCTTTAGAGACGCAGGATCTTTTTTATTAATGAAGACTTGCTCAAAATAATACATACGTTAATATATTACTGGATGCAAATATGATATACTTCGAGACATTATATCTATGGGGCCCACTAATGGATAAAAACGGGAAATTTATCATGTTCTTACCAAAAAGCAGCAAAGCTTTTCCCTCTGTCTAATTTCTTATTTCTGTTTAAATAATGAAAGAAGACAAATATTGAAGAAGATAAATAAAGACACTATTTTTTTTTATTCACATTTGTTACATAATAAAAATTTTAATCCAAGCTATCGATTAAGTCTATTAAAAAAACTTGATTTAGTAATTCTAGTAGTCATTTGGTATTGAGATCGGGAAATCCAAGAATCTGTCAAAACAGATCTATCTCGATAGATAAACAATTAATATAAAGATGAACAATTAATATATGTCGACTGAATACTTAGTTTAAAAAAATTTAAATTATTTAAATAAATTGAAAGAAATTAGCGCTCCTAAGAATAAATCAGTAATAATGCGAGTCGACATTTCATTGTTACAAATATCTAGTCACACACAAACTACGCGCTGCATTTTTTGTCGGTGTTGAAACACAGTCCTTTTACATGAAGCCCCAGAATCCACTATAACAAATTAAATTGACAAGCAACATAATATTTTGAATGCTAATAATCATCTGTAAGAATCTCTTCCCCCCAAATCTGCAAATTATTTAAATTATTTTAAATTCCCAAATCTTTCCAATCATATCTTCAATATTCTTCATATAAAATATGAATGATTTAATATGAAAACTTTAATTTATTTACATCGATTATGTCGATTGTGAAAGTAACGTCGTTCACTGAATGTAAATAAGGATAAAATAATACATCATGTATAAAACACTGAGTTTATTCAAATTTTGCTTCGCCATTGCACATAAACTTGGTACAGCCGTGTCTCTTATGCATAAGCTGATAAATTTTTATTTCTATAAAACAATTAAAAATTAACATATACAGGGTGTCCCGAAATTCGCGAATCAAAAAATCATAGCAAGTCTTCGAAAAATTAAGTAAAAAGATTATTTGTAAATTTTCATTTTAAACAATAGTTTTTGAGATATAAGGGTTTTAATTTAGCCAATCATCATAGATTAGTACTCCCATGAAGTGCGCGACCACTAACACTATCGACGCGTTCACGGACATGTTTCCGTTTAATCGTAATCTATTGATTAAATTTAAACTCTTATACATATCTCAAAAACTACTGCTTAAATTAAAAATTTACAAATAACTTTTTTACTTAATTTTTCAAAGACCTTGCTATGATATTTTGATTCGCGAATTTCGGGACACTCTGTATACTGTATCTGAAATATAATTAAATAAGCTAAACGGTTTAGGCCAAAAAGTCCAGCAGAAAAGGTATAAATCTTTCTTAAATAGAATATATTTAATTAATATATGAAATATAAATATATCATTGAAAAATTATACTTTCATTTGTCTCATTATAACAATTACCTTAGCATAACAATATTTATATTTAAATAGTGTTCTATATATAATTAATATGCAAAGAAAAAAAAACATCTTAAGTAACTCTCATTGATCTTATTTCGTCTTCGCATCAGTCAAATCGTTTATCGCTTTATTTAATTGAGCGCTGAAAGCAGCGAAACTGAATGTTACTAGAAATCTGTATTGACCCGATCTACCGAAATTCTCAAGTTGTGTCGGATTTGTGATTAAATGGGCTATTTTCGAGGCAAATGCTTCGCCAGATGCATCAACCAGGAAACCAGTTTCTCCGGAAATTATCGACTCCGTGGGACCGCCGGAATTGTGTGCGATTACCGGCTTGCCCACGTACATCGCTTCCAAGGGTACTATTCCAAAGTGCTCGTTTGGTGGGGTATATATCACAATTTTACAATGATGGAGTATGGAAACTTTGTCTATGTCGGAGGGCGAGCGCAAGAATATCACTTTATCCGTCACATGCAACTCGTCCGCGAGACCTATTAATTCCAGGTGATACTCCACATTCTCCTCGACTCTTTTATCGTATCCACCGGCCATAATCAGGTATACCCTCTTGTACACTTCCTTCGTTAAGAGTTTCTCCAGCTCCGCGAGAGCCTCTATCGCGAGAGACAGCCTTTTCTTACGCTCGTATCTATTGATGGACAGCAATATAATGCTATCGTCCGGTAGTTTCCTATCGAGCACCCTCTCTATAGACACTATTCTCGTCTTGTTGAAGAAATCCGTATTAATGGAAGGATACAAAATTTCTGGTTCGACCTCCAGTCTCCGGAATGTATTCTTGAACACACTGCTTGTGTAACAGCTATTTACAAATACTTTATGCGCCATGCCGGTTGTGATCTCTTCCAGATAATTTAGCGGCATACGATACAGCTGTTTGACGTGGCCACCAGGCTGCGAGAGCAGCTGGTCCGGGTGATGACAATAGAACACTACGTATGGAATGCGCAATCTAAGTATGGGTATGCAGACAGACACCAAGTCACAGAAAACAACTTCCGGTCGTTGATCACAAAATATTATGTAGCTGGCTGCGTATATCTATAAAAAAAATTCATGTAAGAATTTATTTTTACAAATAGCTGCTAAACGCAAATTCCTTTCAATCGACATTTTTTTAAGGAGGTTTCAGCGCTACTCTCTAGTCTAGTCAATAAACAGTTTATTCTTAAAATTGTGTAAAACGATTGAAATAATATTAAAATATTAATCAACAATATCTATTTCGCTAATGTCATTATACATAATCATTATTAATTTTATCTAAATATTTTTAAAATGACAAAATAAGTTATAAGATTCTCATTTGACCTAACTACCAATAGCAGAAAATGAAATATGAATAGGACATTTATTTACTATTATATCTTAAAAAATAATAAATAAAATATAATGTAAATAATGATATATAAATTAACATTTCTTATCATAAATTTGTCGTATTTTTAATTATTCATCAAATATATATC